CAAACTCCCCTACACACATATATCTTTTGAATATTTGTACAAATATAACTATACAAACTTCTAGCAATGGAATGGCCAAATGTGTCTTTAAACAGATTATATCATTTTATATTTCTATCAACACTGTATGAATGTACCTATTTTCCTACACTGTTGCTATGTAATAAACCACCCCAAAACTAAAGTGGCTTCAAATAACGATGATGTATTTATTCCTCATGATTCTGTGGATTAGATGGGCAATTGTTTTGGCTTGGGCAGCTCAGCTGGGGCTGATGGTCTAAGATGGTCTCACTCACAGCCAACTGGGGTCTCAGCTCAGATGGAGGAAGCTAGGCCTATCTTTCCACGTGATCTCTCATCCTCTATCAGCCTAGTCCAGGCTTCTTCATATGGTGGTCTCAGCTCTCAGAGACACAGAGAGCAAGCCCCTGTGGGTAAATGCTTTTTAAACCTCTGCTTATTTCTTGCTTCTTGATGTCCCATTGACCAAAGCAAGTCACATGCTCAAGCCCAAATTCAAAGTATAAGAAGTAGATTCAACTCTTCAATTCTTGATGGAAGAGGCTGTTTTCGCTAGAGCCGTTATTTTAAATTTTCCACAGTTGGCCATGTATAAAAATTTTTTTTTTTAATTTATGGGTTTAACACTGGCCATTTCATTTTTTTTAATGGAATGGGCTTAACTTTATTTAATAACTTTCTATTCTTGATCATGGGTGCCACAATTCTCTTATTCTATTTCATGTGTACCTCTTACACATGGAATATAACAGCGCATAGCCCATGTGCAGGGACTAATCATTAGTTTTCCAACAGTGCATTAGTAAAACCACTATAGTAAATTACTTTCTGGAAGGAGTTCAAAGGTAAATTTGGAAATTTCTCATTAATTCCTAAAAATATGAGCAAATCAGTAACTACGACTTACTGACCTAATAGTTTTGATCTCCCAGTATGAAAAAAACCCTGAAGAAATTAGTATACTCATAGTCCTAAAACCCATGATTTTATTAGTTATATTTTTATATTCCACGACCCCAATTCATACATGATATAGCCTTACTTCTATACTTAAATAGATTATATGCTCATCTTTAGTCCTTTTATATATTTCTCACTTATTTCTTTATTTGAATTCTCTTAAGGACCCTTATTCTTCACATGTTGGCAAACCCATTATTCAACAATATTTCATAAGCATTAAACAGAAATGGTTTCTGTACTCACAAAAGCTAAGTCTGTATTCTACAGTCCCTCTCTTTTCTCTAATGATCTTCATTTCTTTGTCTATTTTTCCTCTTCATTTTGTTATTTTCTCAAGCTTGAGGTTCTCTGACACAGACTTAAGTCTTTGCAGTGTCTATTCTACTTCTGACTGCTTTGAGATTTTCATTGCTATAGTGGCTTTATTATTGTCTGTTTTCTTTCTAGGGCTCTAGCAGTTCATTTTCCATCTGCTTCTGCTAACTAAACTTTTTTGTCCCCCTGATCTTTTCTATTTAACAGCTTTATTGAGTATACGTATAACTTGCAAATCATAAAATTCACTCATTTTAAGTGTATGTAGTTCAATGATTTTTAAAGTAAATTTACAGAATTGTGCAACTATCACCATAATTCAATTTTAGAACATTACATTACCCCCCCAAGAAGATCCCATTTTCCCAGACCTTTTATATCTCTTCTTTGAGCTCTTCCCACTTACCCTGTTAACTCCTCTTCTCCTTAAAAAAAAAATTTTTTTTTGACAGTGCAGCAGAGTACTCGTCTAGGCTAATTCTTCTGAAGTATAACCTCCCATCTGTTGTTTGCTTAATATCTTTTCCTACCTTTTTTAAATGGTAGTATATCTAGTCACACATTAAACCTCCTTCTGCTTTAGTTCATCTTTGTTTTATTTTATTATTTTTAAGAGATTTTATTTATTTGACAGAGAGAGAGCACAAGCAGGGGGATCAGCAGAGGGAGAGGGAGAAGCAGGCTCCACACTGAGCAGGGAGCCCGACACAGGGCCTGATCCCAGCACCCCAGGATCATGACCTGAGCCGAAAGCAGACGCTTAACTGAGCCAACTAGGCACCCCCGTTTTATTTTATTTTTTTTTAAAGATTTTATTTTGAAGTAATCTCTACACCCAATGTGGGGCTCAAACTTACAACCCTGAGATGTCACATACTCCTCTGACTGAGCCAGCCAGGTGCCCCTTTAGTTCATCTTTAAATAAAAGCTCAAGAATATGTCATTTGCAAATAAAAAGCTCGAGGAAAAGAAATATGACTGCTAGGAAGAGTCAATGTGGCAGTCCAAAGTACAGTGGTGATGCTCAGCATTCACTACAATAACGTAACCTAAGACAAAAGGAAAACAGAACACCTTGGCTTTTTATGGGAGAGCAGAACCTAAGTCACAGCTAGAGAGAAGAGAAATGGTGAAGATGTTTCTTGATATCAGTCGAGGTGGTAAGGGAAGAAACTCTAATGGAGTTTATATGTGAAATCTAAAAATATCGACTTGGGACTCAAATAGGGAGCTCTTTCAGATGAAGGTTGAAGGGTAGATCAATCAGTTCCCAGGAGATACAAGTATTTTGGACTAGCCAGAAAGACCACATGATTACAGACCTGGGATACATTCCACTGGGCTAAAGGGACAGGAAGTCCAATAGCTCTGTGAAGGGACAAGGTAGTGCTTGAAACTCTCCCCAGTGAGAAGAGCTCTGATGATGAAACAGATACTTCCAGACACCACTGGGGCAGTGTGAACTGGGAAACCCACTCAAGAAGGAATTTTCAAATGCGAACAGAGTTATAAAAGCGATCATGCAAATAATTAATATCTCTTTGAAGAACCTATTCTAAGGAAATTATCTGAAATTTGAGAAATTCATATGGATAAAGATTTTCCCACAGCATTATTTATAATAGTGAAAAGCTGGAGACAACATATGTGACTAACAGCAGGGAAACTGTTAAGAGAAGCATGTCCAGGCGCCTGGGTGGCTCAGTCGGTTAAGCGTCTGCCTTCAGCTCAGGTCATGATCCCAGGGTCCTGGGATGGAGTCCCGTGTTGGGCTCCTTGCTCTGCAAGGAGTCTGCTTCTACCTCTGCCGCTCCCCCCGCTCATTCTCTCGCTCTCGCTCTCTCTGTCAAATAAAAAAATAAAATCTTTATTTGACAGAGAGAGACACAGCGAGAGAGGGAACACAAGCAAGGGAAGTGGGAGAGGGAGAAGCAGGCTTCCCGCTGAGCAGAGAGCCTGATGTGGGGCTCGATCCCAGGACCCTGGTCATGACCTGAGCCGAAGGCAGACGTTTAACGACTGAGCCACCCAGGCACCCCAAAAAAGAAAAGAAATTCTTAAAAAAAAAAAAAACATGTCCATCCACACACATGACTATAATTAATCAAAATGCAATTACCATTGTGATATCAGAACAAATATATGTCAAGTTACATAATATGTTTATATGTTAATCTAAGAAGAAGGATATAAAATTATATGTATACCATAACTGTAAAAAATGGAGATAAAAAAGGCAAGGAATTCACAAAAATGATAATAGTTACATTGAGTTAGTGAGATTATGGGTAAATTATTATTATTATTTTTTAAGATTTTATCTATTTATTTGAAAGAGAGCGTGCATGAGTAGGGCGGAGGGGCGGAGGAAGAGGGAGAAGCAGACTCCCCGCCATGCAGGGAGCCTGACGCGGGACTCGATTCCAGGACCCTGAGATCACAACCCGAGTTGAAGGCAGACACCCAACCAACTGAGCCGCCCCAGATTATGGGTAAATTATTACCCAATTTTCTTTCTTTTTTTTTTTTTTTAAAGATTTATTTCTTTATTTGAGAGAGAGTGAGAGCATGTGCATGTGAGTGTGTTGAGGAGCAGAGGGAGAGAATCTTTCAAGCAGACTCCCCCAAGCAGGGCTGGATCTCATGACCCTGAGATCATGACCTGAGCTAAAACCAAGGGCAGATGCTCAACCGACTGTGTCACCCAGGCACCCCAATTATTACCCAATTTTCCTTGTTGCTGTTATATTACTTTCAAAGTTTAAAAAAACCAAAGTTCACCTATTAGTAATGAGAACGAATGTCATTAACTGAGGTAAGACAGTTTTAAGATGGTTTAACCATTGGGGCACCTGGGTGTCTCAGTCAGCTGGGCGGCCAACTCCTGGTTTCGATTCAGGTCGTGATCTCATGGGTTGTGGGATCAAGCCCTGCGTTGGGCTCCCCGCTCAGCAGAGTCTGCTCAACATTCTCTCTCTCCATTCTTCTGCCTGTTCACACACACACACACACACACACACACACACACTCTCTCTCTCAAATAAATAATTAATATCTCTTTGAAGAACCTATTCTAAGGAAATTATCTGAAATTTGAGAAATTCATATGGATAAAGATTTTCCCACAGCATTATTTA